ATCTCTATCTTATTAGCAAAACCATCCATTCAACATGCAAATATCAAGTTCTTACACAATTTTACCTAAGTTCTACACTCAACTTAGCCCTCTCAAGCATTAATTAAGTGAACCCAATATCTAAATAGTGGCCAATCATGTAGAAGCATTAAGGAAAGAGTAAAATAAAACACACACACACACACACACACACACACACACATCATTAATCATAAAAGGAGAGGAGAAATATAGTGTTAATCCATACAAGGTTCCAAATAATCCTAGAACAAAGGGTTTTGCTACTCATAATCATCCACAAGCTACAAATATATAAAATAAGTAGACCCATTTCAGATTACAAGAGAGGAAAGGGAAGAGGAATAGAAAAAATCAAAGAAAATGAACTCCAAATGTCTTCAAAACTTCAATCTCTTGACCCTAACTCTTCCAATGCCCAAACCCTAGCACAACCAAGCTCCAAATGTGTTTAAAAGTCTAAAGAATGCATTTTAGGTTGAGCTCTCAACTTATATGTGTTGTAGCCAACTAATTTCTGATAAATAAAATGCAGCATTTTTCTGATAGCGACGAAAGTCAGGAATGAAAGTCACGACTTTGGGATGACTTTGGTAGTTTTTCACTGTTTTTGCAGCTAACAAAAATCATTCATTTTGTGCTTGATTTCTTTATCCAAAAGCCTTCCAAAAACATCCACATAAGCTCTAAAAATGCTTCTAATCGAAATTTCAACCAAATAACATGAAATTAGGCTAAAAATATCAAATCAAAGCTAATAATACAAACCCAAAACAAAATGCATATTTTCCTAATTTGGGCAATAAAAACATATACAATTGAACTAAAATAGATTAAAATATAAGGAAAATGTAATGAAATAACATGAATTTCTAGAGGTTAACAGGTGTGGGCATTAAGGACTACTTTGAAGCACCAGCACGTTCCAATTCAGGAGGTGTAGTGACTAGAGAAGAGTTTGATACATTAATATCCACTGTGAGGTAGCAGATTAAGGATGAGTTTGAAGCTTCATTTGCAACTCAACTTCTACAAATAAAAGAGCAAATGAAGGAGGAGATGATGAGCATGATGAGCTCACGACAGGAGACAACTGCTGAACTAGTTCATACGTCTCCTCTATTTTATAGTACAAAAGGGACTAATGTTCTTAAGCGTGTGTCAGAGGATCCTTCTAGTGACAACATTGGTGAACCGTGTGAGATATTTTTAGAAGATCCTAATAAACGCTTGGTTGCTCTTGGTAGCATCTACAGCTTGGGATCAACCATTCACCACTAGCAAATTCAAGATGATCAAGTGAGAGTGGTTGTTGTAGACCCAAAAATGCTAGATGCTTTGGTTCCATTCCTTACTAATAAGGTGAAGACTGTGGTTGAAGCTGTTGGCAATTTTATCCTATAGCCTAAGAGACTTGTGAATCTGGTTCAAGTAGTGGTATGAAATTTCATGAATTTTTATTATGTAGCAGCTTCCTAATATATTTTTTTTATTAGCTATTTCTTACCTTTTTATTATGTAGAAGCTTTCCTCGTCGAATCTCCCAAAACTTCCACAACCCTCGTTGACTTTGCATCAGCGAATGATCTTAATGGCATATGACTCATCATTTGAATTCAAGAGTTTAGAAATGGATCTAGAGATTGTGGGTAAGAAAGACATGATAGTGACAATTGAATGGGAAGATTTGGTTCAACTTCTATGGAATAATCAGCTTACCATACTACACATTGAACTATTTATGATATAAGTATGTTTTTCTTTAATATAATTGCATTGTTGTAGATACCTTCATCATTTGTGCATTACATCGGGCAAAGGTGATAAGTTTGGATTCCTTTGCCCTCATCACATGACAGAGAAAGATAATAATCTAGAGTTAAGGGCCGAGTCCCTCCAACAAAAAATATGTGAAGTCAAAAAAGATGTTTTTATGGCTCCATATGTGCACTCATAAGGATTAATTTATAATTAATAGTTTTTTTAATATGGATTTACTTTAACTTGTATCATATTTAGCAGGGACCATTGACAGTTATTTGTTCTTTCAATAAAGAGCAACACTATCGTCTTTTTATGTTCCATTACAAACTTGGGAAAGAAATGAAGAAAATGATAGACTTGTAAGAATACTTTTACTAAACTATTTAATTTAATTTTTTTTGAATATATTATTTACTAATTTGGTGATCTTGATCATAGGGCAATAAGAACATATCAAAATGTAGTCTTACAAAAGCATGGACATGAGCTCAAGGATCCCACATAGATCAAGTCAAAGGTGATACTATATTTTATTAATATGTTCAATTATTAAGATTTCTTACCAATTTCTTATGATTTGTTTTTATACATAGTCGTAGACAACCGGTGAGGATGAACTTGTGTGGTCTATATGTTATGAGACACATGCTCAATATTATCACATTGGGCATGACTGAATTTACCAAAGAGGTAAATATATTTTTAAAAGTTTTATTTTATTATGTTATTTGAGATTGATTAATATACCTATTTTGTGAATCAAATTTTAGATGTTCAACAATTCGGATGCATTTCCTGAAGCTAAAATTGAAGATATCCGTATACATTGAGCAACCTATTTTGTAGAGAACTTGTGAGATTTTTTGTTAGTTTTAGTTAAGTTTTAATTTTAATAGTTGACACAATTTAGACAATTGTTAGTTTTTTTAATAGTTAAATAGTTTTGTATGGTTGATAAATTCTTGATAAACAATTATAAATGAATTGAGCTGTTTGATTTGGCAATTTTTATGCACAAGAATGGGTAAAATTGATAAAATAAATACAGTATAAAAAATTAAATACTTTTTACACCAGTTATTACCATAACTGTTGTAGAATATGATATTTTTTACATCAATTATAGCAATAATTAGGGTAAAAAGTTCAATTTTAACATCAGTTGGACTACCAACCGATGTTAAAAATGGACTTTTAACACCGGTTGGACTTTTTTAACATTGGTTAGACTGCCAACCAGTGTTAAAAGTCTAGTTTTAACATCGATTGGCAGTCCAACCGATGTTAAAAGTTTAAATAATTTTTTTTATTTTCTTGTATATAATTTTCAATATCGGCTTTATAACCGATATAAAAATTTTAGTTTTTACATTGAGTTTATAATTAATGTAGAAAGATAAACTTTCTACACTCCTTGAAACAACATCACATTTTTAATTGCTGTAAAAAGTCATTTTTAACTACTATAAAAAGTTATTTTTGTACTAGTGCTTAGACAATTTTTGCACATTGCATAAATTGAAGTGAATAGAGATAGTAGTTTTTGTTAAACAACACTTCAATCCTTTTGCTTACATGTTACATACTATGGTGGTGTTTAGCATTATTCGAACTATACTATCATTTGATTTATATGCATCTTTTAAGTTAGTCAACCCGTGCAATGCACGGGGTTATTGGTAGTTGCTTATACAACATCATCACTTCCTCCCCAGTCCTTTCATCCAGCATTTCAGTTCCATAGTTAAGCGTGAGGGATAAGAAAGCTAGCAAGCTCTTCTCTTCTATTTTGATCTCAATTTCATTTGATAAGCTTAAATTTTATTTTATTTTTGTTAAAATTCAATATTTTATATTGTAAATACAAATATAAGACAAATTTAATATTTTTTGGCAAAGGATAAAGTTATTATTTTAACCATGGTATGAAAATTAATGTTTTACAAGCTTAAAAATTATAACAATAAAGTTAATATGTTTGCTTCAGTTGTGATTCATTCCCCTTCAATTTGTGAATCATTTTCAAGCTGATCTCTCTGGCTGAGTTACCCACATGCGATGATGTGTCAGCACCACCGAGTCGCTACCAAGACCGGGTTAAGGTGCTCATCACTCAGGAAAGCTTTGAACCATTCAAATTCTTAATTTAATTTCAATTTCATATCTTATAAAAAAAATTTATAAATTTTTTTGATAAATATATTCGTCATTAATCTAGATAGTATTGATTTAATTTGAAACTTTGGATGGTTCAATTTAATATTATAATTTTTAGAAACTAACTATCTAAATATACTCAACACTCTGGGCAAAACAGATTTACTATTAAATTTTTTAATAATTTTTTATTTTAATAAATATAAAATAAAAATAAAAAATAAAAAATTTAAATCTAGACCTTGCCGATAAAAATTTAATATTGAATCTGAACTGTCCAAAGTATATCTAGATAGTTAATTTATAAAAATTATAATATTAAATTACAATATGCAAATTAAATCAGTATTGTCTAAGTTGATGATTAATATATTTATAAAAAAATTACAAATTTTTACTTTTATAAAATTAAAATTTAAATTGAAATTAAAAAATTTATACCATCCAAATTAAATTTAAATAGTTTAGATTTTTTTTTGTCCTGGGTGATCAACCCGTCGGCCACCGAAGATGGATCCACCCGGACCATATATTTAATATTGAAATACGCTGTTGAAGCTCACTTAGGGAAACAGTTTTGGTGCCATCACATGAGCATGTGGACCATTTAAATTTTTAATTTAAACAGTTTAAATTTTATAAAATTTATTTTTTCATTATAAAAAATTATAAAAATTTAATAAATTTATTTTATTATCAATTTAAATAATATGTATTCAATCTAAATAGCTTAATTTAATATTAATTTTTTTAAATAAATTTATAAATTAACTATCCAAATATAATCTAGACAGATAGGATTCAGAATATATTTAAACTGTCAATTTATAAAATTTTTTAAAAAATTAATATTTCAAAGTACATATGAATAATTAATTTATAAAAAATTTTAAAAAATTAATATTAAATTAAATTATATAAATTAAATATGCATTGTTTAAATTAATTATAAAATAAATTTATTAAAACTTCATATTTTATATTTTAATAAATATATAATAAAATATAAAACAAAATGGATAAATCTGGATCGTCCACTGCTCATCAGGTGATGAGCCCGATGGTGCCAAAACCGAACCCATTTAATAACCTAGCGGTCGATATACAAGCTTACAGAACATGGTAACTGACAATGATACAGTGGGCCCACATGCACGTGAAGATAAACCAAACAGTTCCAAATGCTTTTACTCGCGAGGGAAAGAAAGACGATTAACGGCAGTGAAGCCTCCGTCGACCACCAAATCATGCCCACTGATATAAACAGATTCATCAGAGGCGAGAAAGAGGGCAGCTTCAGCAATATGGGTACCCTTCAGTGGAATTCCCTTCATATTGGCCATAGACATGCCTATGGCCTCAACTTCATCTGCTCCCCTGTTTATAAATCGGCACGCAAGAGGTGTCGCCACAGCACATGGCGACACGCAAATCACTCTGATCCCATAAGTCCCGAGCTCGCCGCAAGCAGAGCGGACAAGGCCCACAAGAGCATGCTTGGACGTGGTGTAAGCATGGGGCCCACATCCGGCGACAGAACCAGCCACGCTGGCCGTGCAGATTATGGAGCCACGGGTGTAATTTGCTGCCACCATGGATCGAGCGGCGTGCTTGATGGTGGCAGCCACACCGCGAACGTTGACGGCCAAGGTATTACCAAATGCGTTGAGGTCGAGGTCGAATGTGCCAGAGGCGGAGCCATCGATTCCGGCATTACTAAACATGACATCGAGGCGGCCGTATTTGTGGACGGCGAAAGCTATAGTTTGCTCCGCCTGTTCCTCGTCTCTGACATCACAGACTTGATGTGGGGATAATGAAGCTGTAAGTTGGCGACCCAGTTCATCCTGGACGTCAGCTATAATCACTGATGCTCCGTTTTCGGCGAATAATTTCACTGACTCTGCTCCGAGTACACTGGCTCCTCCTGTCACTATAGCCACCTTACCCTCCAACCTGCTGAAATCCTCAACTAATCACACGATTGTAACTATTCATTTACACTTCAAAGTTAACGGGAAAAACTGATCATACCTTTGCTTGGTCGACATGTCGAAGTGTCCAACCCACTTCTATAAAGTCACGAAATTTAAACTACTTTTCATCTCTCTCTCTCTCTCTCTCTCTCTCACAAAACAGGAGTTAGACTATTTGTCGGCAGCAACCAAGAAAAAAAAAAAAAGAATGTTTTCCCTATTGAAAGGAACATGGGACTAGGGGAGTTAATTAGCTCCACTATTTTTTTTTTTTTTGGTCTTGCAACCAAGAAAAGAAATAGATCAAGGACCTACCTGTTTGTTTTCCCCTATTGAAAGGAACATGGGACTAGAGGAGTTAATTGGCTCCACAATTTTTTTTTTTTTTGTCTTGCAACCAAGAAAAGAAATAGATCAAGGACCTACCTGTTTGTTTTTCCCCATTGAAAGGAACATGGGACTAGGGGAGTTAATTAGTTTCACTATTTTATTTTGTTTAGATGAATAATAAAATAAATTTATTAAAATTTTATATTTTTTATTTTAATAAATATAAAATAAAAATAAAAATACTCCCTCTAATCTCATTTGTAAAGCATGTTTTGAAAAATTCATTTAGTTCTGTTTATAAGTTACTGTGTGATTATGTAACTAGTATGTGACCCCTGTATCAGAAGGATGTGAAAATTTTAAAAATAATTTAAATAAATAATGATATTTACTTAAAATATGAAGTAACTTGCCTTTAAATAGAAATAATTAACTCATAAATTATATTTAGATATATTATAAAAACCAAAATTTAATAATATCACAATGCATAATGATAAAAGTCATAGAACACAACTTAATCCTTTATTCAACAATTAGTATGACTCATCTCTTTTCTCAAGAACTCAATCTCTATTATTAACCACAAAAATAAGAACCTATATGTTCTAAAAGTAATGCCTCCACAATCCATAATGGACAAATTCATATATTTAAAGTAAATAATGAAATTATAAAATGTATCTATAAGGATTTTGTTTTTCAATATGCTAAGAATTTATGACATAAACTTCACTTATACCAATATGATTACGAGTGAGTCTCAAAATCGCAATCACTTAATTCAATCTTACTTCTCATTCGACTGATCCTCTCTCATGCTTTATCTTTTTTTCAACTTGCTCTCTTAGTTTGAGAGTCTATCCAAAAAAAAGTTAAAATCAATATTATGACAATAATGATTTTTATCAAATAAATTGGTTTCTCTTTTGATAGCAAAAACCTAACGAGATGGAACTTTTTCTCTTAAAGCATCTTAAATTGAGTTGACATCCAGTGTAATGAGGGAGACAACTTGGTGTTGTCGCACCCGAAAAATGTGACGCAAATGATGCGCGAGCGGAGGTCCCAGCTTTCGCGGCAGGAACTGGATGGAACAGGAGTCACTACCAAAATTTTGAGGTAAATCATGAGAAACCAATTAAAGGAGAATAAGGATAGTTTGTGAAAATAAAAAAATAGATTCGGGACTCGATTGAATGTGGGGAAGGTGTTAGACACCCTATAACATCCATTTGTAACAACGATTACCTAAAATTTATTGTGGCATATTAATATGATTTTATAATTATTTTAATTATCCCTTTTATATTCATGTGTTTTAAAAAAATGATAAGAATTAAATAAAAAATATTTATTTATTTACGAGGGAGGACTTGACTCAGAATCAGATTTTGAGACCTACGTACCCTGTGATGGGGATCAAAGTCCACGTAATTTGGGTTTGAAAGTTGTTAGTGAAAATATATTTTTTTGAAGAGAAATTAATTAGAAATAATTCACCATTTTGTAAATAAATCAATTTTTAAAATTTTGATATGTGTGTTTTAAATTACAAGAAGTAATTTAATTTTAATTATTTTCCTAATTTTTGAATTTTTGAAATAAAGAAAAGAAAAGGGTTTAAAATTATTTTTTTATATGATTGAGACTGTAACTGCTATACCTATAGAACTTTATTAGTTCATATGGTAATACAATTGTTCTAAATATCTGTGAAGATTTTGATCACACGGCAAAAAAATTTAGCAATATAATTTATTTATATTTTTAAGTGTTAGTAATAATTTATTTAAATATGTATACATATGTTTTTAAAAAATTTTAATCATCATATCTTTAAAGCCTTATTGACTTATACGGTAATATGATTATCCTAGATATCTACAAAAATTCCAAAATCTCATACGATAAAGGAATTAAATTTATTTAATTACATCTTTAATTTACTTAATTTAATATATAATTTATATATATTTTAAAAACTAAATCGTTATATCTACAAAGTTTTATTGACTCATAAGATAACACAATTATCTTAAAAGTCTATGGAGATTCAAAAATCTCACATGAGTAAAAGATATAATCGGTAAATGTGATTATAATTTAAATATATTAATTTGGTTAATTAATTTTTTAAATTATGTATTATATGATTATTTACAAAAATCATTTATTTATTATAAAAATTGAAAATCGTTACATTTGTGAGGACTTATTATTCCACATGATGATGTGATTAGTTTAAGTCTTTATAAATATTCTTGAAATCTCACATGGGACTTAAATAAATTATTAATTTGGATTATAAGAAAAGAATTAATTTTAATGATGGGCCTTTAAAACCCATATTAACATATAAGTTTTACTTCTATATCTGCAAAACTTTATTGATTTACATAATATGAGATTATTCTAAATATTTGCAGAGATCTAAAGTCTCACACAACAAAAGGATTAAATAATATTTACTTTAAATATATTTTAATGCGTAATCATACAACGTATATTTTTAAATATAAAAATTTTAATCATTATACCTGTGAAGTTTTATTAACTCACACGGTAGTACGATTATCTTAAAGGTCTACGGAGTTTTAAAAATCTCATGTGACTAAAAGATCTAATTAAAAAAATGTGATTATAATTTAAATTTATTAATTTAATTAAATAAAATTATAAAAATGTTTTTTATTTTATTTACAATATTCATTTATTTATTTACCATATAAATTATGAATTACAATATCTGCAAGGATTTATTATTCTACACGATAAGGCAATTAATTTAATTCTCTATGAAAATTCTTGAAATCTCATGTGAGACTTAAAATATTCATTATAAAAAGAAAATTAATTTTAGTAATGAGCCTTTAGAACCCATATAAATAGCTACAAGATTTTTAAAATCTCGCACGACAAATAAATAATCAAAATATTTGTATTTGTAGTCGGTGCCTAATATTATGGTTAGCTAAATAATTCATGCAATAAAGGTAATGTAAAGAATAGAGAAATAAACTATTTTAACAGTTCATTATTCTTTTAACTTGGGGATATATTCTAAAAAATCCAGATTTGGCATAAGTTTTTAGCAAAATCATCCCACAAATTATTAATGATATTCTCACAAGCTTTTTTTTTTATTTTGTCAAATACTTCTTAGATATGTTCTAAATTCTACATAAAAACATTTGATTCTTGAATTTTTTTAATGTCTAAACGTACATCTAGATCAGTCCACACCCTTAACATCTATCAATATATATATATATATATATTAAGGGAGATGACATGATTTAAATATTACCTAATTTAATTGCCATTGACTACATCCTCAAATTGCAGCAGCTTATGATTCTAGTATGGCCCCCATCATTGCTCCTGCAGTTAGAACCAAATGTTTTCTCTTTCTCTAGCTTTTCTTTCTCTGCTGCATGGGCCATTGCTCATGAAGCAACATAGCCAGAAGCTCTTGTTACGCACACGAGCTTTCCTGCGTTGTTGCTCATTCTCTCTCTACCTTTCCTCCTTCCTTTCTCTACTCTGCTTCTTTTGCAATGTGCCTCTCTCACTCTCCCTTACTCTCAGTCTCTCTCTCTGTGCTTTCTCCTTCTTCTTTTTCTTAGTTTCTCTTCCCTCTCTTTTTTGTGCTCTTTTTCTCGTCCAGTTTCCCTTCCTCAATTTTTCTTTCCTTCTTTTGAGTTTTCTCGTTTGGATGAAAGTCTCATGACCAGCTTGTTTTGCTTTTCTCATCCTTGTGCTCTCTTATTCTCAGTCTTTCTCCCTCAGTGTTCCTCTCGTGTTCTCCTCTCCCTTCTACGTCTCCTTTGTGCTCTGTTTTTCTTCTCCAACCTCTTCTCCGTCTTCCTCTCATTCCTTTCCCTCTAGCAGCAAAAATCAGGTCCTCTCCTTCTGTGTTTCGTATGTGCTGTTTCTGGTTGTTGGTGTTTTCTTCATCTCCTCCTCTCTCTCATTCTTCTTCACCGTTTTCATCTGGTTTTCATGCCCTTTATCACTTAAGCTCTCTTTTCTCGATTTTTCTCTCCTACTCTCAGTCTCTCCCTCTCGATTTTTCTTGTCTTGATGCTTTGTTTTTGCTTCCCCCTCCTGCAACTTTCGAGTGTGCCTGTTATAACAACGGCAGCCTGTAACACTTGCCTCGAGTGTTATCCAAAAATCACATAATTCAAACAAACTAAGTGTGGTTAAGGAGTTGATCCTCTAACCAACTTAAGAAATAAATTATTTAAAACCTTAAAAATAATTATAGGTTCTACCTATAGCGCACGGAAGCAAGCTAGACGAAAATGGAATAAAAAGATGCTGTCATGACAGTAATTTATTGCTATCATGACAGCCCTTCTGGGCCAATTTCCAGGAGGCACCGTTCCGTCATTCGACCTCCGATCGAAGTGATTTTAAAGCTCACACATCACATTTAAAGGGTACTATAAGTGTACCAAATTTCAAAAAGATCTAACGGTCGGATTAAAAATTAGACATGTTAAAATTTTGATTATTTTTGCTGTCATGACAGCTAAAAAGCTGTCATGACAGCACTTCCGGACCAACTTCCGGAGTGCACCATTTCATCATCTGACCTCCGATCGGAGTGATTCCAAAGCCCACATGTCACTTTTAAAGAATACTATTAGCATACTAAATTTTGAAAAGATCCAACAGACGGATTGAATTTTGTGCAGGTTATAAAATCAATACTGTAGCTGTCATGACAGCAATTT